GAGCAGGGAGCCCGATGCGGGGCTCGATCCCAGGACCCTGGGATCATGACCTGAGCCGAAGGCAGACGCTTAACGACTGAGCCACCCAGGCGCCCCACCTTAGCTCTTTTGTTTCCTTATTTGCCTTCCTCCACCACATTGTTGGAGGCCTCCAAATACAGATCTTACTCATCTTAGATATATTTAGTACTAAGCACATAGTAGCTATGTTGTAAGTATGGCCAAATTGATAGCTCTCCCTAGCACCCCCACAACCATTCCATCCTGCCTGTCTTCTGGACTGATAGCTGAATGGAGTGATGTCATTCTGTGCACCTTATCTACAGTTTATTTTCTGTAAGATGCTTTAAACATTGTGGGTTGGTTGTCTTTGCTCTGAAACAGCCCAGAAATAGCCTAGTGCTATTGAGCTTTACTAGGATGGGGCAAGGGGTGTCAGTATGGCAGAAGGTAAAAGACGGGTGATGCTCCCAGCATCTGTCTCACCAATGGGACTGCGTACAAAGGTAAAACTAGAATAAACCTGACTATAGCATGATTTGCTTTGTTTGCATTATTGGCCACCTTTGCTAATCACATGTGTTTCAGTGGTCCTCAACCCTGGTTGCACCTTAGTCACCCTACCATGGACCAATTAAATCACAGTGCTCCACAGGGGTTCTTAGGTGCAGCTGGGATGGAGAGCCACTAGTCCTTCATTCTCTTGCTCCTAATAAGAGTCTAAGATTACATGGGCCCAGAAACCACAAGCTGCATTTTTTTTGGGGGGGGAGCAAAAATGGTTTCCTAAAGAAAGTGGTCATGCAGCAGTAAGTGCATGGCTTGGTGCCAGAAGTTTGGAGTCCTAGCCCAGTCACTAGTTGGAGAGCTGATCCAGCAAGCCCCCAAACCTCTCTATGCTCTGGTTCCCTAACTGATCAAATAAGCATAATCTCTTCTATCCACCTCAACCTGTACTAGGAAGTTTAAAATGGAAACCAGGTAAGACCCTTCAAAACTTTGAAAATCCTGCAAATGTAATTTGTTAACATTTCCATCATAAAATTGGCACTGTCCTATTTCCTAGCTGTGGGGTCTTTTCGGGTCATTTCACTTGAACCCCCGTTTGTTCATCTGTAAAATGGAGTTGCCTACTCTGCAGAGGACATCTTTAGCAGCAAGGCAAGGAATAGGAACTGAAAAACACAAAATATCTTACTGCTTTTGCTACTAACTTGGATTTTTATTATAAAGACTCAAGTTTTTGGTATCAAGCCTGCCATCAAATCCCACAGTCTCTCTCATGTTAGCAGATGCTGGAACCTATGTGGCCATAAGCAGGTGCAGTGTTCTTGCCTGAAAAGCTTTGTAACCTTAAAACAAATCCCAGGGAATTTTTGGTTACAAACCAAGCCTGCTGAGGTGACAGGTGCCATTGACTTAACTACCTGGGAGCTGCCCCTTTGGCTCCCATTACCTGGGCTTTCCTGCCTGTTGAGTGTGCGTGACAGGAGATTGATACTGATGAGAGGTGAATGTGTAATCAAAGCAAGTGAAGTGGGTTGAAATCTTGTGTGCGGTGACCTAACAAGAGGAGTTACTGAGGCACTGGGCAGGCGGAAATGCCTTGCCCCTGAGCTAGTCCTGCCACCTTCCTCTGTCCTCACCTTCTGCCTCTGAGTTACAGCACCTGGTACCTTTCTCCAACCTCTGGAAGCTGTGTATTCTCCAGCGTGGGGATCTGCCGTCTTAAACTGGTAACAAGTCCAGTGATGATAAATGGGGGGGTTTCTGGGGAAGCTCAAGATTTAGAGTAGTGAATTTGAAAGTGTGAGATGCGGAAAAAGCATTTGGAAGGGGCTATGGCACAGTTATTTCTAATTTTGGCTCTTTAGGTACATATGTTCTTAACTGTGCAAACTTACATTGTCAGCCAGTGACATTAATACTTTTTCTTCCTAAAGCAAATCTGATAATTACTACGTTACAACCTAGAGAGGACAATAACAAAACCCCCATAGAGTCAGGGTGTCAGGTTTCCGTGCAACAAAACAGAACAAGTCTCTTTGGAAGTCATCAGTTATTTCAAATAAGCCCCCGAAACCCTATACCCACTTACCCACTGATATGGTCCAAACAGCAATTATTTTCAGAAAGGCCTTTGTTCTGGAGTTGAATCGGCTATGATGGATGGGGTTCTGGATGGCAACGTAGCGGTCTAGTGAGATGGCACAGAGGTGCATGATGGAAGCCGTGGAGAAGAGCACGTCCAGGTAAATCCAGACCGCACAGAGCTTGCTAGGCAGAGGCCACCGGTAACCTGGGATGCAGAAGGTTAGCGTTAATAAGGGCTATCAGGCCTCCCATGGTGTGTGGAACCGACCCTGCCAGAAGTGTTTCCATTTGGGGGGTAGGGGGAGCGGTACGGGAAGTTGCAAAGGGCAACATCAGATATTTTCAAGATTTTAAAAAGCCTAAGAACAACTACTGAACAACGGTAAGATCCTACTAGCTGATGAACACAGGGTTTAGAAATTTCTTGTGGTTGGAATCCTATGCCAGTGTGTTGTAGTAAGCTTGGGTTGTCTTCAGGGTTTCTCTTGCTGTGTGTCCCCTAACGACATCTACCTTTTTTCTTTGTTTTTAATGAGTTAGAAGCCTCGATGTCGTTGGAGCTCCTCTATTAAAGCGCCTCTTATAGGACACTGCCTTTACTTGTTCACATCTTTGACATCCTTTGGGTTCCCTGAGGTTTAGCCCACCTCTTAATCACTATAACTGCTCAGTCTTGCACAGTGATGTCATTTAGTGGTCTCTCAATAAATGCTGTTGGTGTGAATGAATAAATGATTAACAAGTCCAGATGGAGAATATTTTTTGGAAAAATGAAAGATAATTGCTTTAGGGGTTCAACTCAAATTTGGGGTGTGTGTGTGTTCGGGGGGGGAAATACGCAGAAAAGCATGGCATTCTTGTCCTGATGAGTGTTTCAGGGCAGTGGTTCTCAAACTTTAGCGAGCCTCAGAGTCTCCGAGGTAGGGTCTTAAAATGGTACTGCTGGACCCCACCTGGAGGTGCTGATTTTGTGACTGCAACAGGGCAGGAGAATTGCCATTTCTAACAAGTTTCCAGGTGGTGCTGCTGGTCCAGGGATAACACTTTGGCAACAGCTGCTTACAGCAGTGGTTGTCAGCCCTGGCTGCACTTGAGACTCAGCCGGAGAGCTTTTTCTCTAGGTCTTGGTGCTCAGCGAGGGTAGGAGGAGGTGGGCCCCAAATAAAGTGTTCCAGAGCTCTCCTGATGATCCCCAAATGAAGAGCACTGCAGGAGGCCCTTAATGCATATTCTAAGTTCCTGTTTTTGTTTTAAAAGGAATCAAATGGTTATATAAACCCAAATTAGCTTTGGTAACTGTATAAGCGATATTACATCTGAGTACGAGGGAAAAGGCAATCATAAAGATCTCCTTTTCTTTACAATAGTCCAGACCGACAAAGCCGAACAAGTTCCACATTTGCAAGTATACTCTACCAAAATGCCACCACCTATAATGAGGAAAGTAAAGGGTGCAGGATACAAGCCTAACTTCAAGTCACACTCTGCCTGGTCGAAACTGATGTTGGCCCTTGGAGTTTCCTCTGCAAAGAGGCAGCCGAGGTCGGGCCACAGTCTGGTTTCCGAAGCAGGGATAGGGAGGGGGCATTTCCTTACTCTGTGGGGTGAGAGAGGACCGGTCCAGGGAGAGTTGCAACTCTGGCTGGAACTGGCTGCGTGCGGAGCGGCCGCCGCCAGGGGGCGCCGTTGCACCCCGAGCGGGAGGTAGCGGCCAGGTCCTACCTTCTTAACCCAGCTCAAGGGTGCCTGCTCCCCACCTGCAACTGGGGTCACCCCCGCCTCTGGCAGTGGTTTTGGTTCCCTGTCAGGACCTCTGGGAGCCCTGCATCACTCCCGGAGTTTGCCTTTGAGGCGGGGGTCGGGTCTTAGGAAGCGAGAACCTCTGCAGCCTGTCTGGGAAATGACGAGCAAATTTGATGAAATCATCTTGGTGTGACATTTGAGTGGTCAAACGCAGGTTGGCCTTGCAAGGAGCAGTATCGACCCCGTGCAAACCAGCACCTGTTCTTCATTGCCCATCTCCTTCCTCCTCCATACCCCTCAGCGCTGGGGTAATATATGTTGTATATAATTTTAGCCCTTAAGACTTGGCCAGAAAATCCCCGTTTACAAAGATCATAATGTATTTCTAGCTCTGGGTGATTGCTATGTGCTGTGTCAGCAGCCTAAATACTCTTTTTTTTTTTTTTTTTTTAAAAGAAATCCAGCTGTATTACTCATAATTTGAAAAGAGCATCACATTCTGCTTCCTGCCGAAGCCCTCCCAGTGTTTGCTGACTTGCTAAGGGGGTTGACTCTCTCAAACTGTTGAAGAAATCGAGATTAATGTCTTCCATTTGTTTTCTACCCTTCTCCAAACAAGACTGGAGGAGTTGATGTATATGTATTTTTAAAGAGTTGAGGGTATAATTCAAAGGCACACTTCCAAATTAGCTTCTCTGGGGTAGGGAACAATTGAAACTGCAGTAATTCATTTATTTGAAGGCAGAATCTGCATATTTTAACATTAAACCCACTGTACCACTAATGTTCTCCCTGCACATGTTCCAAGGTAATTGGGAAGGTTTTACTACTCCATTAGAGGTGCTGAAAACTGTGTGACAAAGATAAAACTGTGTTGTGTCCTGAAGGCTGGAATATTTGGGAATATATAGAAGCGAAAATCAAGTGGATTCAGAATGACAGCTAAATTACTGCTTTATGACTGTATTGGGGGGCATTTAAAGGGACTACATAAAATGTACGTGTTTCAAAGCACAAAACTCTCCAAGGATAATAGGTGGTTTGATCTCTTAATATGTGAAAGCTCACTTTAAGATTTAACTAGTGTACCATGGTAGACCCTTGTCTATAAATAAACCCTTGTGTTTAGTTTTCCCTTGAGCCCCAGCTCATCTGCTCATAACATGCACATGCTGTCTATTCCGTGTGGGTGCAGCTGGGAGGCTAATGCCACTCACCATACAGGATGGTTAGCATGGACACGGGCATGACAAGGAAACCCAGCAGCATATCGGCTATGGCAAGTGACATCAGGAAATAGTTGGTGGCGTTCTGCAGCTTTTTCTCTAGGGACACTGCCATGATGACGAGTATGTTTCCAGCAATGGTTAGAATAATCACTACAGCTGTCAACAAAGCAGACCAGTTTTTTTCCTGGAGATGAAGTAAGGAGAAGCATGGTGGTGAGAGACAGCCCTCACAGGAAAGGTTGGTTCGATTTTCCGAGTCCACTGTCCAGTTAAATGCGTCTGAAGTGTTAGCTTCTCCGGAGTTAAAGTCATTGATGTAGAGCCTTGGGTCCTCATTTAATTGCATTAAGGAGTTTGTAGTTGAGCTCAAAGAAGCATTTTCCTCAAAAAGAATATCCATTTCTAAGCCGGAATTTGTAGCAGATGAAGTAAAGAAAAACTAACAAGTTATAGCCTCAGCTCGCCATCCATCTTTCTGTCCCCACGCTTGGTCACACTGAAGCCGGTATACATGCTGAGCTCCTTTGGTTGCCTTTTTTCTCTCATTATTACAATGGGAGCTGAACTGCAGTGGCTCTTTGTATCTCCTTCCTTCATGGTGTTAGTGGAGTCTTGCTTAGTTTCTTTCTTTGTTTTTCTTCAAAGCAAGGTCAAAAAAAGCAGAATGAACTTTTTAACCTAGCAGTTGCGGAGTTTTGAGCATTCAGGGAGAAAAATGTGATCCTGGCCAGAAAAGTTTTGTAATTACCAGGAATCTCATTGAGCTCTATCTCATTCTGTTGGTTATGTCGATCACAGTAGTTTAGCCACAGCGGTATTAAAGCAGCATGCAATCCAAAAACAGTGGGGTGGTATGCATTCTACATGAAGAAAGTCAATTAAAAATACATCCAGTGTTAATCCCATAGTAATTGGATGTACTTGGGGTTAGAGTTCTCAGTCTCTAGGCTGAATTGCCATAGTTGCTGTCGGGAATTTCCATTTGCATTATGCTTAGTTAATAGAAGAAAAGTCTTAAGCAAAGATTAGCCAACAACTTTCCACACTAGAAATTCTCATTGAAATGATAATGTTTTGGCCAAGCGTGATTTCAAGCCAGAAAGAAAATTAACACAGAAATAAAATACAGCAGCGTGAGAACTTACATTTGTCTTCAGGGTCCACACGTGAGACATACTTTGCTGTTCTGTGACTTGCTGCATCTCCCATGGTAATTAAGCCAGGGTAGAGTCCCTTCTTCTCGAGTGTCCACAGGCATAATAGAGTAATTTGATTTCTGTTTTGCTGACTTCAAAAACTGCATGCAAGAGTAGAGCCACTTCCAGCCCTGCGCGGTCTGTGTTTGCTGGCTCTGCCCCCACTCGGCTGGGTTACTCCCTCCCTGTGCGGCTTGCCTGAGCGAGGCACACGTTCAGAAATCATTCATGAGCCCCTCTCCAAGTCACACAAAAGAAATCCCTCAGGAAAGTAGGGAGAGCTAGCTGCCTGTGCTAAAGGACTCGTGGTTTCCACGGGAATGGACCGGCTCTCGGGCTGCCTCCTTCACTTCCCCAGACCTCCCTCTATCTGTATGTCATAAACTGCAAGGTAGTAACAGCCAGGGAGGGCGGACCAAACACGCTGGATTGTTTTTTCCCTTGTTTCTCTCTCTCTCCTTTTTTCCCCTCACACGTCAACATTGGGAAGTTTTGTTACGTTAGAAATCCCCTTTTATGCAGATGGCTAAGGCAGGTAAGCTGTGCTGTGAGGTTCTTAGTGTGAAGAGAGCACATAAATAAGGCTAGGAAATGGCATATCCCGGGAGCGCTGGAAGCATGCAGAACTTCCACCCAGAGCCCATAGTGCTTATGCCTGAAGTGCAGTTACCGACGCCAGCAACTTGGGCTCAGAGTGGCCAAGCACCTCCTGGGTGGTACTCGAGCTATTAGTAGTAGTTTTACTTATTAAAAGCATGCACCATTCAACTAACTTATTTTCTCCAGAAATAAACTTACCTAGAAGTAATTCAAAACCTCACATGTGGAAGAGAAGTTTTTCAGAGAGCATTTTAAAGACCTCCTGCCTTCTTTGTTTAGAAACCTGAGAAGGGGTTTTTTTTTTTTTTTAAAGACTGCAGCTATGTGGCAGATACATAAGTTGTATATATGTATACACACTAGATCTCTTTATTTTTAGATGAAAAAAGGATTCTTCCCTGAAGAGTGGGGGGTTTCCTTTATTTTCACATTCTCCCTAGACAAGTTCTGTTACTTGTGTGCTTTCAACATGTCTTTGGACAAATTGGTACCTTCTTAGCAGGTGATTTTTCTCAGCTCTTGACCTAAAAATTCAGTTGCCTACTGAGACCTTCATCTGTGCTCTAGAAGACCTTGACCTCTGCATCTTTCTCCCATCCCCCTGCCTGCTTCTTGGTGCTTATCTCCACCCATTCTCTCGGTCAATGGAATCAGCATCTCTTCAGACAACTGGCTGTTAGCCAAGACTCTGCCTTCGTTCTTGCTGCCAGATTTTAGTCTCTAGTGCCACTTGCGTGTACACAGATTTCCTATCCTCCAGCCCACATCTTACCTGTCATCTGGGCTAGAGCATCTCCCTCGTGGGAATTTGCCCTTTGTGCCATCTCTTGGAGGAGAGTATGATTGCTGTGCATCTTGAGCAGGCAGCTGAAAGCCCAGGCTCTGGATTACAGCTCCTTAGTTTTGAATCCCAGCTCTCTAAGTCCAACAGTAGAACCCTGGACAATCGAGCTGTCTTCCTTAAGACTCTGTATTCTCTCTTGTAAGTGGAATAATAGTAGTACCTCCCTCAAGGTGGTAGTGAAACTAAAATGGGGTCATGCATATAAATACTTAAACCCACATGTTTATAGGATGCTCTTTATGTTAGCCATTTTTATTAATCCCGTTTGATGTTGGGCGCCTTGGTGGCTCAGTCGTTAAGCGTCTGCCTTCGGCTCAGGTCATGATCCCAGGATCCTGGGATCGAGTCCCACATTGGACTCCCTCCTCGGCGGGAAGCCTGCTCTCCCTCTCCCACTCCCGCTGCTTGTGTTCCTGCTCTCTCTGTCTCTGTCTCTGTCAAATAAATAAAATCTTTAAAAAAAAAAATCCTGTTATTAAAACAAAATTGACGTCACTGTAATCAATTTGTGCTTCCATTCCTTTAGCCCCTCCCTTGAATGGGACACAGCTTCCATCTTTGTCCCTCACTTTGTCTATCTGCTCCCGCTTCCCAGCCTAGACTCCTGTTTTCTTCTATAAGCAGGCTACATGCAGACGAACTTGCAGGTTGATAATTTTAAAGCATTTGTACTTGTAGTTCCCTGTGTCTGGAATGCTCTCACCACCCCCTCTTAGTATCCATCTGGCAAATTTCTACTCAGTTGTCAAGGCTCAGTTCTAAAGGTAAGTCCTCTGAATCCCATTCCTGCCACTCACCACCTGGGTGACCTTGACTAAACTGCTTCATCTCTGTGCCTTAATTTCCTTATCTGTTAAATAAAGGTAATACCTACATGAGAGGATTGATTGAGAGTTGAAATGTACCAGGCATGTGTAAACGTGAGTGCTCTGTAAAGGCTAATCCTTGGTTTACAGATATCCACTTTCCATGGCTCTCCTTCCCCAGTGTAGGCAAAGACCATGGTACCTTCAGAAGCTTTCTATTCTATCAGGTCTCACCTTGCATGTAGGCAAAGACAACATTTGTCTTGTTAATGGTAATACACATAGTGCTTAGTTCTGTTTGTTGAATGAAATGTGTGACTGATAACTTACATGTCTGTCTGTATTAGACGGTGGACTTCTTAGTCCTCTCTCTACCTACAAGACCAAGCATGGTATCTCCTAATGGCAGGTTCTCAGTAAATGCATTTTGAAAGAATAAATGAGTTGACAGCCTATATTAAAAAGCATAGTCAGGGAGAAACAACCCTACTTCCTTTTTTATTTGTGCAATGGGATACCAAATTTTATTAAAGAGGGCAAAGGGAAATGTTAAAAATTCTGTTAGAAAATTAAGGCTTTTTGATAAATTTTTATGGCTTGCTGTGTTTTTCTTGGAGAAATCTGATGTTCTCAGGCTTGAGGTCTTCATGGACAGCCAGGTTTCCAATCATGACAAAGCTAGTCAATGAATTCCTTGCTGTATGGTTTATATTGTGAAATAATTTTGTTAGTAGCCATTGGAGATTATTTGTAGTTTTATGAATACTTGTTCAGGACAAAGGAATATGTTAAAAAATCAGACCTCTAGCTACTAATAGTTAAACAGAGCTTGTCTATTAATAGCATGGGAGTTAGATTTGGTAGGAATGGTTTCTTGGAGGTCAGACACTCTCGAGTTTCGAAGAGGGATGTACATTTCCTGCTGTAGTGAACACTGGTGTGCAGCTCAGCTCCCCCTTCTGGACAGACACTCATTTTCCCTGAAGCTGGAAGTGTTGATGACTGATGGCTCTCAGCCGATTCTCGCTATGAAAATTACCCTCAGCCAAAGAGGCCACCTTCCCCATAGTCAAGCATCTCCTCTAGAGCAGCCAGAATAGAACTGGTCTGTTGTGAGGATACAAAAGTCTGGCTTCCTTGCCTCAAGCCTGGACACTGCTGAAGGATCTCCTGGTACCAGAGTTTCCATGGGATCTGTCCAGGCCTTTGTTGAGACTGCATCACAGTTAATCTCCTCCCCCTCCCTAGTCCTGCCTTTCTCACTCCCCTGCAGGTATTGGTCTGGAGTTCTCAGCAATCAATCTCCCACACACAAGTCTATCTCAGAGTCGGCTTCCTGGGGAACCTAAGGCCTATATTTTTAAACCTGTGTTTTAATGCTTCAGTGCCACTCTGGATGAGTTGATTGTCTCATAGAAAACAAAATTATTGTATGTTGATGAATACATTCTTAGAAACTAGAAGTTCTTCAAAAGACAACTGGTTTTACTATCTACTTCCGTAGGGAATTTAAGGGCAACAACCCCAAAGTGAAAGTTATTTGTGGCACAGTTTCTTGAGTACCCAATTGGACTTTCTTTAGGGATATGTTTTGCAAACAGTTTAAGAGAATTGCTTAAATCAGGTGTTGATTTTTTTTTTAATGTCTGTGGTGATATTTGTAGCCCTTAATTTTTTTTTCCAGTTAAAAGTTAGTGGCTTCTGAAACATTAGCACCTTACAGATGTTAGTATATGTGTGAAGGAAATTCCTTGAGCGAGTAAGCCTGGAACATAATGCATCCTATAGCCTCCTCTTAGAGATCTACAGTGTATATTAACATACTAAATGTGGTGAGAGAGAGTGCAGTGAAGAAATTTGTTGACCTTAACTTGCTCACTCCCCATCTATGCCCTAGAACACTGATTTCAGGACCCTTTTATTAATGTAATGAATGTAAAATGTAACCCAACTTAAAGTGTGAAGATATCAAGTATATAGTTCAAGTTTTGACAACTATACACCTGTATAACCATCCCCCAAATCAAGATAGCCACTCACGCTTGTAGAAGTTCTCTCATGTTCGTCTAACCTTGATTTAAATGGAAGCATGTAGTATATACTCATTTTGGTTCTGGCTTCTTTTGCTCAATAATATGTTTGTGAGATTTACCCATGTTGCTGTGCATAAACTTTCTATGGATTGTAGTCTGAAAAACTGTTATGTGGCCTGGATATTTGGGAAATAATTTATTTTCTCTTGTTCAAAGAAACATGGACTAGATCCTTGGTCTGTTCTTTTTAGGTTTCTTTTCAAGACCATGCCGACCTTTACCTCTGCTCAGTGGCCTATATCTGATTTTATTTTGAAATGGCTGCATGGAATTCTTAAACTCCATGTTCTTTTTTAAGAATATGTCCCTGAGATTTATGCTGTCCAAATCTTATTAATAGTCTGAGAACGAGAACAAATTTTCATAGAAGATTTCCCAAATGATAAATAATCCATTCCTTCCTTTGGATGTTCCAGTTCTCAGGTTTGGAACAAACCAGATTGCTTGATCACTGCATGCCTGGAAAACAAGGCTTTAAACTGCCTTCTCTTACACCATTGACTTGTGTCAAAAGAAGCAACTACTTGGAATTAGCTACTGACTCTTTTAAATCTTCTCATGGGGTATTCAGTTTAACAATACTCATAAAAATAACAGACAACCTTTGAGTGCTATACTCTTGCCTTAATTCATGCACTTAAGTAGTTGGTGGTAACAAGTAGGAGTACAGGGGTGTAGGGAGGAGGTATAAACTTGGTGATCAATGGCATGTTGGTGGTATATAAAGTGTGAAACTGGGTGAGATCATCTAGGGGGAGTGAGTGGAAATAGAGAAAGGAAAAGAGGTTTGAGGAATGGGCCCTGGAGTACTCCAGTATTTTGAGGTTGGGGAAATCTAGAGGGAACTACTCAAGCAGAAGGAGAAGGAGCAGCCAGTGAGTAAGGAGGGACACAGAGTTGTATCCCAGAAGTCCGGTAGAGAAAGACAGTGGTGGGGGGAATGTACTCAACTGTCAAACACTCCTGATGAGCTGAGTGTGAGAAATAAGAAAGGACCATCATGTTTGTC